CTCTTTACTACACATCCACCCTATCCACCATCTTGTTTGTTCTCCTTTTTAAATTTTTTTGATGTACACATAACCACACTGAAAATACATATTCATTTAGATTCCCAAAAGGCCTCCTTTGTAAGCCAGTCTCCTGCCCATAGGTATGCTGCCTTTCTCAGTGCATGGGCCTTTCGCCCTCAGATACTCTCTCTATGCCATAATCTCTGCTACCATATCTATTGTTGCCACTTTTCTGGTTAAGTATAGACCTATTATTTTTACTGAAAATTGAGCCATGGGGTTGAGTTCATTTCTAGACTTCAATGGCCATAGCATAGGGGGTTCAATCAATCTCTATCCAACCAGAAAGACTGATTTTTTATTTTTTTTTTAATGATTATGAGTTTTGTTCCAGATTTTTTCCCCAGTCTATCCAGGATGATATAACATGATCCCTTTTTGAAAAAGTTGATAGTTCTTAATGGTAGCTGGCAGCTGGGCACCAGCTAGTTCTTCTGGTCTATCTTTTAAACCATCTGGTTCATGTTAGAAATTCTTTAAGATGCTTATGTTTCTGATGAGGGCTGAGCAGGCCCACTGGTACACTGAGCATGAGTCCTGGCTTCATTGGAAGCTGGCGTTGGTTGTTTCCCATGCACCCTGACTGCATATAGTTTCTGAGGAATCCAAAACAGGCATTCATTTCTTTGGGATTTCTTAACTTTCCTCTAGGGAAAGCCTTGCCTCATGTTCCAAGCCTGTGTACATCCATAACATAGAGGATACTGTGTTGGAATTACTTGTTTATATATCTGTATGTTCTGCTGAAGGAGCAGTGATGTGTACTGGTTAAGTCTCAGCTGCTAACACAGAGGATGGTGGTTCAAACCCACCAGACCCTTTGAGACAGAAAAGAGGTGACAGTGTGCTCCCATAAAAATTATAGCCTTGGAAATCATGTGGTACAGTTCTCCTCCATCCAGTATGGTCATTATTAGTTGGTGTTGACTTGACAGCAATGGGATATGGCCTGCTGGGCTGCCTCCCTGAAGACACAGCACGAGACACAGCATAAGGCTGGACACACAGTAGGTGCTCATTAGGAATAAGTCAAATGGATGCATGAACAACCAATGCTCAGTCTGCACAGGTATTTTCATGGTGATAAGTTCATCTTTCTACCTTAATAAATTCACGAGCTCTGATGTGCTTCAGGGAACCCTGGTTTGACGCTATAGGAACAGCACTGGACTGCTAACCACAAGGTTGGTGGTTCAAACCCACCAGCTTCTCCTTGGAAACCCTATACAGGATTGCTGTGAGTCGAAACTGACTTGACAGCACGCAACAACAACAACATGCATTAATGTTTATGCAATTTTGATTATACTTTTTTGACTTATTAAAATCAGACCTCTTTTCATATTCAAATACATGGTTTTTCACTCAAGGAAGATGTAGAAGAAATATAGAACCTACCAAGGTAAATGACTACAACTGGACAGGGTAGAATATAGTCACTTTGTTTAATTAACAATCAAAACAAAAAATCAGAGAAGAATTGTACTTTGCAAAACGGTGCTGAAAATCACAGTTTTGGTGTGATGGAGGGAGGAATTATTAAAGTACTCTAATGTGGTAAAATGCTAATCATCACAGTTCTTAATTGAGAGTAACTTGAAATCTCTTGTTGGCTTCATAAATATAACTAGAGTTTTCAAATAGATGTTATTAATTATTGTTATTAATGTGAAGTTTATAACATCCTCTGGGAGACTGAGTGTTAGAATGGGTGAAATTCTGGCATATTTTAAAATATGCCTATAAACTGAGAACTACCAAATGAAAGTTGACTATTCTTTTATTCCTTCTTTTTCCATCTTGCCAAATTGCTCATTTCATCAATAAGAAATACAGCTGACATTCCAGGCATGATAGCTGTACACTGAATCTCACATCGTTTATTTTTATAAATTTGTATTCCAGTCAGATGGGGCATACTTTGATTTCAGTATGTAACTCATTGGTGTTAATTGTCTAGAATCATTCTAACAACTATGGTAAAGATAAGGTGGTTCTCCCTAGTTTGCCTATAAAAGATCAACAAAAGCTTAGCTATTGTATTTAAGTAGAGGATTCTTCCTCATCTAGATTTGAAGACTAAATAAAATAAAGAACAGACAGTTAGCTCCCTACATTTTTTTTTTTTATTATACCTTTTGAAATAATTTGTATATACCTTTTAAATGATTTCAAATGCCACCAAAAATAATGTTAATAGCTCAAAATCAAAAGTTAAAAAAAAAAAAATCTAAGTACAATTTTAAAAATCTTTTTTTCCTCAAGCGTTTTACGATGGGATAATGAGACAGACGTCTCTCAACTGGAAGGACATTTTGACATTGTTATGTGTGCTGACTGGTAAGTACATAAAAATCATAAAACTCCTGTTAGGGGGGAAAAAAAAACACAAAATAGCTTTGCTGGAGTAATTGGGCTGTGCTGCTTTGCTGACGGCTAAGCAGAGTCAACAAATGAAGCACAAAGCCACCTTAACCTCAACCAATTAATATTCATCTCCATGTGACAGCCATAAGGTAGTCTTCTATCACACAGTAACTTCTACCACATTATTTCCCAAAGATTGATTCTGAGAAGCATTTCCATTTTCTGGAATTGCCTCTGTTTCATGCTTGACGTATCAGTAAATGGACGACTTAGGCAAATTGCAAATAATTATGGCTCGGAGAGGAATAGTCTGGAGAAAAAGGAGTTTATCAACACAAACAGCTCAATTAGCTTACTTCTTAGGAAAGATCTGAGTATTGATATAAGGGAATACACATGTGTGTACACACTCATATGCACTCTAGCAAATAAACATATCTATGGAACATCTTTGGGGAAATGCCTTTTCTTACAATGGATCTTTGCTATCTAATATTTTCAGTGTATCCAATTATGATATTTAATTATACATACAACAAAATTATAACATTACATTTTGATTCTTATGCAAATAATAATGTTAAAATGTCTTTCAGGTGCCTGCTTTTTAAAAATCATTTTCATTAGCTATTTGCCTTCTCTTTCAACTCAATCTATTTATTTGTTAATGGAAGTCTGATCCTAAGTTTTAGGAAAAATGTGCTTCAAACCTTAATGATTATTTCTACTAATTTATGTATTTTCTTTATGCATGTTGAACAATAGTTATTTCATCATATGGGAAATACTAGCAATTCACAAGTGTTCTCCCTATTGTTAGGAGTAAGGTCTTATGTGTAGTTTCATCATGATGATTATTCTGACACTTTTGGTATGAAAACACAAAGAGATCAGATTCTAAGGATGTTCCATTATATTGCTAAACCCAATCGCAAGATCCAGAATCCAGACACTTTCCCCAAAGGAAAGTCTAATAAAGGGGATTGATTACATTTCCATGAAGTGAACTTTGTATTTTAGTAAAATTTGAAACGAGTAACTTTCCCACCTAAGTCAATGAAATTAATATCTGCTCCTGCTGCTGCTGCTTCTAGAAAACACTCCTTGATGAAAAATAAATATTTGTTTATTTTTATCTGACATTTTCTATTTCTTCATGGTCCTTTCAGTCTCTCTATACTCACTTTCAGGAAACCTTGTTCTAAATAAGGTCAACACATAGATTTCTGACAAATCATTGATATTCTGCTTTAATGTTGCATTCCCCATCTAATCAAAAATAAGGAGCTAAAACCTCACCATGTGATTTGAACAAGTAATTTAGTAAATACCTTTCCTCACCAAATCTGAGAAAGGATCCTCTGGGTTTCATTGCACAGATGAAGATAATGCTGACAGGATTAGATCAGATTAAGCATGAAAGTCAGATCAGAGAGCAGTAGAAGGAAGGAAGAAGGGCGAAATCTTCAGGAGGTTTAGACGGGGTCAAACACGGATGGGCTCCCGATTATGTGGGGGAAGCCAGGTCTGTCTGAGAGATTTAGAGTTAAATTTGTCCTTCACACAAATATCAAAACAGCCTGGCTCTGCCAGATCTCGTATTATGGACACTCACACCATGTCATCCTATTTGTATCAGAGAGACAAGCAGAGGAAGTAAGATTTAAGCTCTTTTCTGATTAATGTTTTCAGTCAGGTTAAAAATAGCTACACAACATATTTGAAAAGAATCTCCTTTTTTTTTCCCTAGCCAACAACAGGGTCACATAAAACTGATCAACAGAATGCATACTTGGCTTAATGCTTTCATTACAAGTACATAACATAACACATCCATCTATAGCTATGTGACAATTTATGGATGCAAACATACTAAATGCACCAAATGTCATTTTATAAATGTCTCTTGGGTACATGAATTGTTGGGTTGTGTGTGTGTTGTTTTACTTGTGTTTTAAGTGCCAGAAAGTTAGCTTGTTTATAACTTCCCATTTGTAAATGTGAAACATGAAGCTACTCTCACTGTGAGGCTGAAATTTCTGAGAGGAATGTTTTGAGAATGCTCTGTCTTCATACTCACAGGGATGGGTAAGCTTCTTATAAACTAAAAAAGTCCAGTAATGTGTACAATATGCATGGTATACATATTGTACAGGATTCCACGAGTGTTTTATGTCCTGTTGGTTTGGTGTTTCTATGTCAGAGCTATTTCATGGATGCTGCTTCCAGGGGCAGGCAGGCCAACCATGCTGCTTTAAAAAAAAAAAAAAAAAATCACAGAAGAGCAAAAGGAAACTCTCTGTACATACCACCTCCAAGATGAAACCTGAAATACACTATGCCAGAAATAGATGCCACACATAAACACATCAAGTTAAATCTCACACCATCCGTTCGTCATTGTCAATCAGACCTAGATTAGACAACAGGAATATGAAGCAAGAGTTGGAGTTCATATATTAGGTGCATGGATAAAATTCTTACTGAAACATTTCCAGCAAGGGTGGCATTGTCTGGTTCCCTGAATAGCCAACCAGTAGTCCTGTTTAATTCCATTTACATGAAAACCAGCTCTATTCACAAACTTATTCCAAACCCACATTGTGGTTCAAGTAAAATGCACATGATTACAACAAGCTGTGTTCTGTTTATGTTTTTAAATCATTCATATATTCATATATTTACATTCAAACATTCATAAGCCTGTGGACAGTTATAAGGGAAAAATAACTTAGTTCTCAGAAGAGACAGTTTCTTAGCTCACATCTAAATTTAGGAGCTCAACTAGATTATAAAATAAAGAGGCAGACTGTGAAAGCTAGTCATTATTTCACCATTCAGCATTTTTGACAATGAAAAATAGTTTCATGGTTCAACAGTTTCTAGATAACTTGTAAAATGTCTCCGTTGAAATAAGCAGGAGGAAAACTCGAGGATAAAAGCCACACCTGCAAAAGGATGCTGTTGACAAACACTAAAATATTAGAACATTTAACCGTAAGGTATTGGAAGAAAAAAAAACTCTGTCTATTAAGTCTCTCAGTTGACTTGTTTAATGTCATATTTAATATAAAAATAAGAATTCCTTTCTGTTGGAATGCAGTCCAGCCCGCTCCTTGCAGAGTTTCAAATAGTAAATGATGGTTAATTTTAAGACTGCCTTTCCAGACTCTTGTTTAATCATAATAAAATCTAGAGGTCTGCATGTGAGATGTTATCTAATGAACACTTTCGTTCAGTGTTTGCTGACTCCCCAGGTTATTGTAGCTCAGCAAAAATAAAAGTTCTCTGTACGTTTGGCTGCTCTAAAGACTTGGAACCATGTCTGCAATTGCAGCCATACCCTGGCCCTTCGAAGTGTGCAAGACCATCAGCACACCTGCATTCAAGCAGCTGGAGACTTTGGAAGAAAGGGGGGAGGGGAGTCCATCGGCCTGTAGCACTCCACCTCACCTGTTCTCTCAGTGTGTGTTTTTACTCTAACTATACATTGAATTGACTCCTGGTATGGTGCTGTAGCATAAGCACTGGACTGCTGACCACAAGTCACCCTCAGCTCCTTGGAAACCCTATGCAGGGTTGCTATGAATCAGAACCGACTCAATGGCACTTAACAACAATGGTGCTTTGGATTCTTTTTTCTTTTTTTTTTTCATCCTTTTGACTTTACTCTGAATGATGAAAACATTTGATTTTTAAGCCGTTTGGTTAAAAAAAAAAAACAGAAAAAAAAAAAATTCTCAAAACAGAAATGTTTTCATTTTCTTCCAGACATTGTGATCATGATTAACTCAAATCATAGCTTACAGACCGCCACACCAAATATATTCAGCCCTTTCACCACACACCTAAAGAGATTAAGTTCCAATGATGACACACAAATGGCCCAAGAGCTCACAACTAAGGAGCCCAGGCAAGATTAATTTCCCGCATCAGGCCCGAGTCAGCTGGCAAATGCCGAAAGAGGTCATTCCACTGCTGAAAGTGAAATCTAAAACAGGGACTTTAGCTTTGCACGTTTCACCTTGGAAATTACATAGAGGTCTTCCTTTCTGTGAATGCTGACAGAGAAATATCTCCTTGTTCTCTGTGCTAATTAATTTCTCAATGAGAGGAATTGTAGATGCTCTATGCTCTGTATAAACCTCTGGCTCAGTCTAAGGGAAGCGATAAAAATGGTCCAGTACCTTTTCTTTGTTGTAAAATGTGTGACTCAGATCAGTGGAACAAAGTGTTGATTCCACAAGTGAATTATGTAGAGAGGCGTGAGTGTGTGTGTGTGTGTGTGTGTGTGTGTGTGTGTGTGTGTGTTAATGGCCAAACTATGCTGCCACTGTATTTTGATCAGTAACTGACGGGAGAGTTGAAATGGTATCTCCATCCCAATCACTGACCCACTCAGCCTTTTTTAATAGATCCACTTAAGCTACTGCTGTTCTCTGAGTCCATTAGGACTTATTTAAGGGGCGAATTTTATAGCTCCCACTAAAGTACACTGCAATTGCTCATAGGATGTATTCTACAAACTGTTATGAATTCTGCATCAGGGTTGAGCAGAAGAGTCAGCTTGCTTGGAATAAAGATCTATTAGAGAGCCACAGAGTTAGTTTTGGTAAATTTGATTTGCAGTGATAGAGTAGACAACATTACCCTTCAAATAACAGTGTTTGGTGCGGGGACTGTGTGTTAAATTTAATTTCCCTGTGAGCTGATGTGCATATCTTTGTCATCATTGCCAACGTTAAGTAGAGACTATACGGCATATTTGTAGCTCAACTTTAAAGGTGTTGTTTATTTTTTCTAACACTCTTATTAGCTGTTAAGATGCATGCATCTAAATGGAACAATGATGCTTTGCTTAGTGCTATGTATGCTTTAAGCAGGCTTAAAGAGATCTTTTCCCACAGTGATTGTCTTCTTTGAAATAGCAATTAAAGAAGCAGCTTAATTATTAAAATTTAAAGTATCGATGG